CACAAAAATGACAACTGTGAAATATCGAATGCTCGCTGACGTCGTTTCAACCCTTCAACTTACGATTTCTTTTATTAACTTCAGCATCGTGTGTTTACTATTTTAATCTGTACGAGATAAGAAAAGCTAATTTGCCGATACACCTCAGCCTGATAAACTAATGTTTTTTTACTAACGCAACATTTTATCACGTCTTAACCAGAATCTGTGTGACGAGTCCGCCTCGTTTTCAAAAATCAAGGGGTTAAAAGTTTATTAGACGCGTAGAAACTCGACAGCAGCATGCGCAACGAGCGATACTTCAATTCCAGCGTGTAATAGCACAGTTGTAGATGCACGTCTGTCACATCCTGACGATTCTGACGGAAAATAGCCCGGTCGAAAAATACTACGAAACGCGTTCGATATATACGAGGCAGCAAGGAACCGTGTCATTTTATTATCGTCGATCTTGACGTACGACCTCCGAGGATTTTTTTCTCCATACTTTTACGATCGTAATATGCTCTATTTCTATCGACGTGTGCTCACGGAGACGCGTTACCTTTGTTATGTAAATGCGTCCAGAGTTAATAGATTTATAGAAATTTACGAGGGGCTTAAGCTTGATCTACTGCGTCTACGTATCGATGAGCGTGCGCCGGGGGGATAATGACACTTCTCTTTTCTCTTATTTCTCCACCGACGGAGGACAGTCTTTTACACTTCCGGGCGGGTTTCGAACGAACGACGCGGCGGTCTTCCGGTGTGCGTGTAATTAGAAGCAGCTACGTCGGCGGCGGGCAGCGGTTCGCGTGCATACACATCCGTGGATCGTAAAGTTTATCGCGCAATTTGCGTAATGTGCGCGGAAAATTCAAACGGAGCAAGAAAGCGCGCACGACCGTGCGGTTTCTTTCAATTAATTCCGCCGCGGCGACCACTGTGACGCACGTCATCCGACTAAATAAATAATCGAGCATTAAACGCGGTCTCCCCGGGGCTAGGGGTTGCGGGAGAAATAAAAAGAGAGAGAAATAAAGAAAGAAAGAAGGAAAAGATTCTCTCCGAGCAAGAGAGAGTCGGGTTCGAGCGGGAATGATTGAAAGAGAGACGAGAGATCCGACCGGGAATTAATTAAAAGAGAAAAACAACAACCCTGTACTTTTTCTTTTTTTTTTCCTCAACTTCTTCGTTTATTGCATTCACAGTCACCAGCGCACAGTCTTTCACCTTTTTTCATTCGTTTCGCTGTCCGTTCGACTCTTAAATTAGATACAGATTACCCATTCTCTCTCTCTCTCTTCCTCTGTCTTCGGACAACAGACACCGAGATTATATATACAAAATAATGCAAACGAGCAACCACTGCACAGTCTATTTTCGTACAGAAGAAAGGAAACGTAGGCCACCTCTCTTTCGCACGAAAAATTCTGGATGATCGTAGGAAAAAATCACCCTATTCAGGTTGGACCGTTTCGGAAAGTAACGAAACAGAACCATCGACGAGAGTACAAATCCTCTTTTAATTTCTAACGTCTCCGTTTTCCTCCCTTGGGCCCAGTTGGGAGAAAACGCAAGGTCGCTGGTAAATCCCATTTGTCTTGCAGCATTCGGTCCAGCCGTGTTGTCAGGTACAAATGCAAAGGGCGAGGACGAACAGGTACTCGCGCGATGCCTAGATCTCTCTTTCTCTCTACCTGTTCCGATGGACGCCTCTCTCTCTGCCATCCCTTTTCCTCCGTTTCTTTCTTTTCCGGCGTTCGACGCAGCAGCAACCGGGATTACTGGCAGATTTTCCCCTTTTCCCCGGGGGTGAAAGTTTAGCTACGAGCGAACGTGAAACCGGGGTCCACGCAATTAGGAGGCAGGACACGTATCTCTTTGGAAGCCGGACGACGATCGACAGTGAAAAGCATTTTTCACCGGTCTGCGATCTCGCGGCATATTTTTCTTTTTTTTTTTTTTTTTTTTTTTTTTTTTGCTGTCTATCTGTATGCTCCGTGATATCGTTTTTTCTATCTCTATCTCTCTCTCACTCTCTACCTTTCCCCGTTTGACCCTTCGGCCCTGGCTGGAAAACACACAAATACAAGGGAATTATGGGACTAAATTACGCGGTACATTTGCGAGAGAAGAGGGCACACGCTATGAAGTAGCTTACGACAGGCGGAATCGATGGAAGCCCATTTTTTCCGCACTCGTACATCATACACCGAAATCGAAACTGACAACAAAAACCCTCCCTCCCCCGCGCTTGTGTAGTACGTACGCCAGTGTGCAATAAATCACGGTAAAAAGAGCTGCTCGCGATCCTTCCCTTTCTTTCCTTTTGCCCCCTTTTTTTCGCCTTTCTCTCCCCTGCGAGGAGAGCTTGACGAAACCCTAGCTTCCACGTTACCCATTGCCTTTCGAGCTGATCTTACAAAGCGTCTGTACGTGTCTCTCTCTCCCTCTCTTTCCTGCTGCTGTGTTCAAGAGGAGAGAAGCTTGCGAAGGAGATCCTTGGTGTATCACTCGTTCTCTCGTTCCACGCAGTTAGATCGCCGTCAGAATGTTCGGAACACGAGAATAGGACCATCCACGTGCCTCCGTAAGAAGATCTTCGAGTCGAAGGACCAATTTGGAGGAATTTTCTCTCGAGGTAGTATCGTTCGATACGTTCCCAAATATAAGGATGCAACGAGGTTAGGCCGGGTTGTATGTTTCGAAGGAGCAACGACGAAGAAGAGGGAAAAAAAACAGTTCTCCTAGATTGCCGGTGAAAATGGTTCTCGATATACGGGATAACGGCGACGGTGTTTCCCCGTTCGCGTATTGTTCGGTTAAAATCAATTCTCGCGTAATCTCGGAAGACGAGCGGAATCGAGGGAAAAAAAAAACAGTTCTCCTAGATTGCCGGTGAAAATGGTTCTCGATATACGGGATAACGGCGACGGTGTTTCCCGGTTCGCGTATTGTTCGGTTAAAATCAATTCTCGCGTAATCTCGGAAGACGAGCGGAATCGAGGGTGATTTTCAGGGTGAAAAGCCGGTATCGATGTGGCTTATCAACGGATCAGCCGCTAATGGAAGTATATACTCGCGTTGGAGGCGTGAATACGACGGATAAAGAGGCCCCTCTACCGCCCTACGCTTTGCGAGACCCTTGGTCAGCGAGAGCAGAGGTGAGCAGCTGAAACTGAAGCGTGTCACGAAAAGTTCACGTGAAACTGGCGAGTTCTCGTTGGACGCGAACCGCCACCTGACACGAATGAAAGGGACGAAGTCGCGAACGAGGGGCTGCGAGACCATTGTCGAGTGTAACCGAGGGTCAATCGACTTTACTAGTTTCCTTCTAACACCGTGACGAAGTGTCGCGCAGGAACGTTGACAATTTGCGCGTGCCACAAGAATTGGAATTTATTTCAGACATTTTCGAACTGCATACGTTCGACGGCTATCGGATGATTATTCGTTACGTGAAAATTGTGTTTCTGCTGAAATTATTAGAATTTGGGATTCTGG